CTTGCTCAGGCTGGTTTCTAACTCCTGAGCTGAAACGATCCGCCCGCCTCGACCTCCCAGAGTGCTAGAATTACAGGCATGAGCCACCGCGCCCGGCCAAGTATTTCCATTTTTATAAATCTTTACTAAGGAAATAATCAGACCAAAAATTTGAAATCCCTATTTAAAAATTTCTGAAGAAAACCATTTGCAACCTTTGTTTGAGTTCAAGTTAAGAAATGTATAGTTATCTTGAAGAGAGGGGCCTTGCCAAAAAAGAAACATATACTTTAAAAATAGCCAAAGAACATAGATATCAGAGCCTGAAATTATCTTATTAATATCATATAAAAATCAAAATATTGTAAATTTTAAGTTTAAGTTACTATTTGAATTTATGAGAGTTTAATTGAGAGGATTTCTTCATTAAAAAATAAGTATCAACCCACGATTAGTCCATGCTAAATGGTGAATGGATAAGAACATAGAAAGGGAAATGCCCCTTGTGTGTAATCTAGGAACCATCACAAACAGCAGGATTGATTAGACTGATCTCTTCTTGTATCTCTTCTTAATGGAAGAGATAGGACTTAAGGTGAGACAATAGCTACCAGCTACCATTCAATGAGGACAGTGTCTTTTTCAGGCCTTGTGCTTGGTACTCGGTATTCTCCCCCTTATTTTTATATTTGCAACAAACTCTAGTGTAGGCATTCATATCTTTGAAGGAATCTTGAGATTCAAATAATTTTATAGAAGGAGGAAAGGCATCTTAGGCGAGAATAGAGACTTTTGAGTATATATTTTAAAGACCAAGTTGGTCACTGCACACAAACTATTTGGGTAAGTCATTTTACCTCGTGCTGTCCTTTTTTATGAAATGAAAGATAATTAGATAATTTCTAAGGACCCTTCCACATGTTTCATTTCTATGTTTTATATTGTTTTCTTCTGTATCATATTAGTAATTTTTTTATAGCACATAAAAACTGGTGCAGTATTTACAGGTTTTAAATATCTGGATCATTTGAATAAGATGGTTTTACCGATTGTCATGAGGTAAGATAATCCTTGACTATGTGTCAACTCTAATTAGTAAAGTTTTGCTGAATTTTCATACTGGTATTAATTTT